TTGCTTGCGTTGAGGCGATTTGGCTGCTTGAAGGTCGAAGTTGCCGCTATGGAGTTGTTGTCTGTTGACGATTCGGGCAGTGCGTACGCGGGTGTCCTGAAGTTTTGCAGATGTGGCAGAACGGAGGTACTGGCTTCGGTTGTTGCTGCCGGTTGTTGTTGTTGTTGTAGCGTCGCTGAGTGTGGAACGCGAATTCCGGTGCTGATGTCTTCTTTTTGTGTCGTTCTTCTTGCAGATCCATGTCTTGCTGCTCGGCGTGGATTTCGGCCCAGAGCCCTGCTTCGGAGATTCTTCCGTGAGCTCGGAGAATGGCCTTTGTGGCGCGCCATTGAGGACCGAGGCCGCCGATGATGACTGTCACGAAGGCGTCTTCATAAATCGACCCTCCGCACCGAAGAAGCTTGTCACGCAACTCGCAACATCGACTGATATACGCCATTCCTTTCTCCCCTGGTTTCATTTCAACCGTTCTCAGTTGCGCCATTAACCGACTTTGGCTTACACTGTCTGTTGCTTCATACATGCTCTTCAGGTGGTTGTACGCGAGCTCCGCGGAGTTGCCATAACCTCGGTAAGACCTTATGTTCTGCTGTTGAGTCGGGGTGATATTCCTCAGTAGGATTGTGTACGCCATCATTGACTGATAGGTGTACTGCTGCTTCTCGTACTGTGTGCCGTTTGTTGGGTATGGCAGAGACCCGTCGAAGAACCCGAGTATCTGCGCGCCTTCCATCATCAGCTCGAACTCGAACGACCAGGTGAAGAAGTCCTTTCCATCGAAGGGTCTTGACGTCTGCATCTTCAGAACGTGTGCGAACTGCGACTGAACTTGTAATGCGTCCAGTGATTTTTCTTGTCCAGGTGAAGGCTGTGGGTGTGGCATAAAGCTGATGGACCCGCGCTCGTACGGAGCAAAGGTAGGCTGCTGTTGTTGATTTCCTCGTGCATATGATGAGCCGTCGAGACTCATGGGTGTTACTCCGTTGTTGTTGCTGTTGTGTGACTGCGCAGGTGCCGATTGCTGGTGTTGCTCGTAGAAGGACATGAAGGAGAAAAACTTCTCCATCATGCTCTGGTCGAAGTCTGCAGGTTGATTCGCGGGAGTCTCGTGTCGAAATATGTTATTCATATTTATATAATTGTCTGTAGTGTTAGTGTAGTTATGTTTCCCGTTTGGTGGTGCACCTCATTACCCTAGTTCTTGCCTATATCTTTGTACCTTTGCTCTTTATTGAACCTCTCTTCCCTCTCGCTACTCTCAACACCCTCACCTAATTTCCTAGGTTCTAAGCTAATTATGACATGGTATTAAGAGCTAGGTCGTCCTAAGACCTAATTTCATTTTCCCCATGGGCCCACCACGTATCCCCCCGCTCACGGCGCTCATCACGCCCCCCGTCGCGACCATTGTTACGACGGTTGCAACGGTCGCGACCGTCGAAACGATCTCGGCGGCGAGCTGCGCGAGAGCGTTTGCGGCCTCGGTTGCGACCGCTGCGGATTCGTCGCACCCTCGTCCGGCCCCCCTAAAATTTCCCCCCCCGTCGCGGCCCTGCACGTCGGCAGCGTCGGTCGCTGTGAGGGGGAAGAAGGGGGGAAGGTTGTGGCGGCCAGGCTGCAGTAACCGCCAGCGCCCTGCCCCCGCTCGACCGTCCCTCCCTATTCTCCGCCGCATCTGCGGGCTCGTCGCACGCCCTGCCGCGGAAACTGCTGTTGGGGGAGATGGCAAGGGTGGATGGCGGGCGGGATCCGCAGCAGTGCCCGCGCCGCTCCTGCTCTTTGCCGCTGGGCCGTGCGTCCTGCTGTGGGGGGGAGGGTGAAGGCGTGGCGGGAGGGACTCTGCAGCGCTAGCCGTTGCCCACCTCCCCTGCTCTCTCCCTGCAGCGCCAGTCGCTGTGGGGGGGGAGGGTGAGGGGGTGGTGGGAGCGTGGCTTCAGCACCAGCCGCAGCCGCCTCCTCATTCCTCCTCTCTCCCTTTTGTTCTCTGTTTTCTGCGTTCTCTCGGCTCCTCCTCCTGCAGCCAGGCATCTGCTGCTGCCGCCCGCTGCTACTGTGGCACCTCCAGCTGTCGCCCCTGTCGCCACCTGCCCTGTTTTTTTTTGTTTTCTGCTGCTGGGGCCTGCAGGTGCTGCCGTCGAGCCGCTGCTGTCCTGCTGCACGTTGCAGCCACAGAGCCTGCTCCTCAGGCGACCTGCCGCCCCTACACTTGCTACTTTTTCTGCTTTGTGTTTCTGCTTTGGCTCAGGGTTGCTACAGCTGAATCTGCTACCACTGCACTGGTTGTCACTGCTCCTGCCTACTGCTGCTACTTCCGCTGCACTCTATATGGTGTACCCTCTTTAGGGGGCGTTACTACACTCACACCTGCAAACAATTATGGGGGTGTGTCGAAATATGTTATTCATATTTATATAATTGTCTGTAGTGTTAGTGTAGTTATGTTTCCCGTTTGGTGGTGCACCTCATTACCCTAGTTCTTGCCTATATCTTTGTACCTTTGCTCTTTATTGAACCTCTCTTCCCTCTCGCTACTCTCGACACCCTCACCTAGTTTCCTAGGTTCTAAGCTAATTATGACATCTCGGTAGATGTTGCTCTGGGTCTTATTGCCGTGCCCTCCTCTGTCTGTAGGCCAGAGGCAGGAGGTGGAGTAGGAGTAGTGCCCTGGGAGCAGTTGGAGTTGCTCCTTTCCTTTTGTGTAGCCATGCTGATTGATATTGTCGGTATAGAAGTTGAATTCCCCCCTGATTGCTCTCATACCATGTTGGGCTGAAAAAGCCCTTAGGATCTTTGCAGGGGTGAACTCTGGGTAGAGTTGGTGTAGTAGCGGAAGCGTTAATTAAAGGGTTGTGAACCACCTTGCACTAGTATGTGAGGGCAAAGTAAGTTGATTAAAACAGGTGGATACCAGGCCAAATTTTATCAGTGTAAATCACCCTGATACCCTGATTATCAGGGTGGTTTTGGGTAGTCACACTTATGCCTCAGGGTATTTTTTTTTGGAGCTGTGAATTTCCTGATCAGCCAGGGTATACGCTTAAGGCACACTGATGCACCGGGGTAACCGTTCTTCTTAGCGAGTTTTACCCTGAAGCTAGTACCGTACCCCCCCCCCCCCCCCCCTGGACCTCCCCCCACTTACGGGATTCCCGTTGGCCAACTGTCAAAACCTGAATTTGCGTACATGTGTTGGCACGAAGTGGGCCACTATTGGCCAGAAATACAGTTTCGCTCTACACAACGCCAAGGACCAGGGCTGACGATATCAGGGTAATTACCCTGATTTCAGGGTGATTACAGGCTTCTGACTTGGTGGGTCCTGCAAACACAGGTTTTGTATTTTGTGAACTCTGATCCTATCAGAGTAGCTACTTAACGGACTCTGAATTCTCGTAACTAGGCTCAGAGTAGTGTACTTGCGGAGTCTGTCTATGCAGAGTATGCGTTCCGTGGACCCTAAATGCGAGGGTATTGGGACGAAGTTTCCTAGAAGCTTCGTTTCGATAACCCCCTTGTGTGTAATCATTTCTTTTAGTGGAAGGCTCTTGGAAATTTCCTCACGATATCCCCCTTCGGTTTGATCGCAGTACAGCCAGCGCGTGAGCGATGGACAGCAGCATGTCTGACAGGCGAATACACTTGATGTATGTTAGTTTCACGAAATTTGAATAAGTTGTTCCACTGTCGTAAGTGCGTGTGCGTAAAGTTTCCAGAATCTATTTTGCGTTTCGCACAGCGATGTTGGCCACATTAAGGTATCGAATCGAAATGTTTGGTTGAGCGAAATCGCTCATCTCTTCCCCCCACTAAAACGTGTGCATAAACACCATTTTGTAACACTAAAAGGGTAGACATTAGCGCGCTCAAAGTGTGCGCGAAACACAGAGCGCAAACTTTACTCAGAGGGAGACTTTTTCCCCTGTAACAAAGGACGCGTTACTACTCTGATCCTCGATTTTCGACCCTGAACAATCAGAGTTATATACTTATCAACCCTGAGCAATCAGAGTAGCATTATTCTGAAAAATGTGCACTCATAATAGAGGGGAAAAATTTTCCCCGGAATCAGGGAGGCCTAATATGAAACGTCAGCCCTGCCAAGGACTCAACTCGGACTAAACTCATTGTAACAATAACTGAGCAGGGTTTTTAAAAGTCTTACACTGATGCCTCAGGGTAAAATTTTCAAACCTAGCCTGAACCCTGATGCAAAAGAAATTTCCTACCAGGTCACACTGATAATCAGGTTTTTGCTTAGGTGCAGCACTGATCATAAGGGTTGCTCAAAACCAAAAATTAGCCCTGGTGGATACCACATGTTTATATATGAGTACAAGGAATACGAAGAGATGCAGTTATAACTGTATTGCTGTTGTGGTTTGATACAGTGACGACTCGGGCAACTGCTCTGTAGTGAGTCAGTTGTGTGTCCTTGCTGTCGCGCTGTATTTGTCAGGTCAAAGGTCGCTGACCTTCGCGTAACCTCCAACAGTTACTTTCAACCTCCGAGGGTTAACTCGCCGGTGATTCGTTATACTTCGTTTCTTTTGTGTCTTGGTGTTTCGACACGACAGAGGCGCTTAGGACCGATTGTTTCCAACAAATAAGACCCGGGTATTATGTAGGATTTTCCTTTGAGGAGACCCCCCCCATTTTTTTTCCAGTGGTTTTCATAATACCCTAGGGTGTTTTATCCGGGAGAATACGGTAAGAGGTTGGTCTGATACCGTAAGGGGCAGTAGTAGGAACACGCCCTGAACCCGAAGATACCAGTACAAGGGTGGTCTGGTTTTCTACACCACATCGTGGATCTAAGGATGTCACGACGGTCAGGCAACTTGCAATGTGTTCATCCCATCACTGCCGCAACTTCAAGGGTGGCATTGACATAGGGTAAGCTGTAGGTACATGCGGAGCCATGCGTCAGGTACGCATTGCATGCCGCGTGCATGCAGGTGCGACTATCACCAACCCTTCCCCCCACGTGCACAAGGCGAGGGTCATGCGTAGTGGGGCACGGGGAGGAAGGGAAAGGGAGCAGCCGAGTAATACGCCACCGGGGGGAGACTCGCCCTCCTCCTGCTCTCACCCCTCTCGCCACTCCCTGCTGCCTCCCATGCCCTCCTCGCCCCGGCCTCCCCCCATGCCTTCTGCTCCACCTCCTCCCTCGCCCCCTGCTCTCCCGCTGTTGCTCCCCCTACCCCACTCTCGCCTGCACCTGCCATCACTGCAGGAGCGTGGGAGGGAAGCGGCGCATGGGTGAGTGTGGGCGCGGGGGCGGGGGAGAGAGCATGGGCGGGGAGGGGGTGGTGGGGGAGGCGGTGCAGCAGCATGGCGGCCATGAGGGCGGGCAGGAAGAGCAGGCTGGCGCGGAACAGCTGCCTGGCTGATGCTGACGAGGGGCTGCGATAGAAGGGCACTGCCGCTGCTGTGAACGCCCCCGTTAGCAGCACGTTCTCCCATAGGAACGGCGCTGTCGTGCACCCCACTGTGAGGGAAGGGGGGAACGAGGTGGGGGTGAGCGGAGGGAAGGAGGTATGGAGTGAGAAGGTCAAGGGATGAGATGGGTGAGGGATGAGATGGGTGAGGGATGAGATGGGTGAGGGATGAGATGGGTGAGGGATGAGATGGGTGAGGCATGAGCATCTGAGGTATTGAGAGCATGGCTGGGGAAAGGAGGTGAGAGAAGGAGTGTGCATGCAGATGGGGGGAGTGGGGAGTGCAAGGAGCGAGATGGCATGGGCAGAGACACGAATGGGCTGAAGTGATGAGACGAGAGGGCAGGCAAGCGCGGAGCCATTGGAAAAGATGAAGGGTCAAGGAAATGGGACCATGAATGGGTGGAGGGGTAGGGACGGTGGGGAGGGCGGGGAGGGCGGGGAGGGCGCACGGGAGACGGCAGCGAGTCCCAGTGGCAGCATGTAGCAGCAGTTGCGCAGCGCTGCTGCCGCTGTGCGCCGCCCCGTGGGGTCCGCCAGAGACAGCATGCGGTAGCTGTGTGGGGGGAGGGTGGGGGCGGAGGGGAGGAGTAGGGGAGAGAGGGAGGGGAGAGGTGACTCTTGAGTTGACTCAGAGTCCATCTCGCAGTGCTTCTGCTGCTGTGCGCCGCCCTGTGGGTTCCGCTAGGGACAGCATGCGGTAGCTGTGGGGGGGAAGGGGAGAGGAGTGGGGGAGAGGGGGAGGGGAAAAGTGGCTTTTGACTCAAAATCCATCTTGCGGCGCTGCTGCTGCTGTGCGCCGCCCTAAGGGGTCCCCGAGAGACAGCATGCGATAGCTGTGGGGGGGGGGAGCCGAAGGTGGGGAGTGGGGGAGGCAGGGTGGGAAGTACAGAGGCAGGGGGGGGAAAGTACAGAGGCAGGGGGTGAGGCGAGGGGATACAGTGAACGGCATGAGGCAGCATGAGGCAGCATGAGGCAGCATGAGGCAGCATGAGGCAGCATGAGAAGATGAGCAAAAGTGAACTGATGGGAGGAGAGGACAGAATCAGGCGGGGCCATAATCAGCTGTGCAGCCTCACAAATGCTGAGTTGCCCCCCCCCCACACACATACCTCCCTGCAGCATGGTCAACCCCCAGCCTCTCCCCTCACATACCCCCTTTGCAGTGGAGTCAACCCGTCCCCCCTCACCCCCACACATACCCCCCGCGCCCCCCCCCCCATCGTCTTTCACTCACCCCCCAGCAGCATAGTCCTTGCGGCATCTGCCACAGGTACAATGCACCCGCTAGCACTGCTGCACCCCACTCCAGCCCATTGTGTGTTGAGTGAGTGCTCCCCCCTACCCCTACAGACACCCCCCTGTAGCATCGTCTGCCCCACCCTTCACTCACCCCCCAGCAGCATAGTCCTTGCGGCAGAGCCAGGCGAGAGCAAGGAAGTGCGGCATCTGCCACAGGTACAGCGCTCCTGCCAGCACTGCTGCCCCCGCGTCTAACCCCCCACTCGCCGCCGCCCAACTGCAGTGCGCACGGGGGGAAGGGATGGGTGGGGAAGGAGAAGGGAGGGGAGGAGGGGGGTGGGGGAGGATGACATGCAGGGAAGGGTGAGAATAGATGAGAGAGGGGATGAGAGATGTGAGGTCAGCAGGTCACCTGCCTGCCTGCCTGCCTGCCTATTCCCAACCCTAGACCAACCCCCATGTGCTAGACCAACCCCCATGTGCTAGACCAACCCCCATGTGCTAGACCAACCCCCATGTGCTAGACCAACCCCCATGTGCTAGACCAACCCCCATGTGCTAGCCTGCCTTTTCTCCACCCTGCCTCACCTTGCCATCACCCTCCCAACCGCCATCACCATCACGTCACTTTCACGATTATCACCAGCACCACGAGCACCATTACCAAATCCGCATAACTCTGATCGCCATGCACCTAATTAACTGATCCCATGACGGGCTCACCACTAAAGTTGGTGGAAGTCAAACCTCCGCAGCCCACGTTTCCATCGCCGACAAGTCCTCCATCAAATCAATCTCAACAGAATTATCACCACCAGCACCAGCATCACGATCATGGCATGCCTCATGCCTGCAGTGTCTCACCCCATGAGAGGCGGGATGACTCACCCCATGAGAGGCGGGATGGCTCCGACGACAGCGCCCACCCACGTGTTGGCGATGTGCAGCTGCTTGAGAGGCGTGTACACCCCCGCGTACAGTGCTAGGTTGGCCGCTCCCAGGCCTGCCGTCATGCTGTTGGTCTGTGCACACATGCACAGGCACATGCACAGTCACATGCACAGGCACATGCACAGTCACATGCACAGGCACATGCACAGTCACATGCACAGTCACATGCACAGTCACATGCACAGTCACATGCACAGGCACATGCACAGGCACATGCACAGTCACATGCACAGGCACATGCACAGTCACATGCACAGTCACATGCACAGGCACATGCACATGCACAGTCACATGCACATGCACATGCACAGTCACATGCACAGGCACATGCACAGGCACATGCACAGGCACATGCACAGTCACATGCACAGTCACATGCACAGGCACATGCACAGGCACATGCACAGTCACATGCACAGGCACATGCACAGTCACATGCACAGTCACATGCACAGGCACATGCACAGGCACATGCACAGTCACATGCACAGTCACATGCACATGCACAGGCACATGCACAGGCACATGCACAGTCACATGCACAGGCACATGCACAGTCACATGCACAGGCACATGCACAGTCACATGCACAGGCACATGCAGTCACATGCACAGGCACATGCACAGTCACATGCACAGGCACATGCACAGTCACATGCACAGGCACATGCATGCACACGAGTGGGGAGGGGAGAGAGAGGAAGGGGATGTGCAGCTGCCTGAGGGGCGTGCACACCCCCGCGTACAGCAGTATGTTGGCCGCCCCCAGGCCCGCTGTCATGCTGTTGGACTGTGTATGCGTGCATGCACACGAGCGAGGAGGGGGGAGAAAAGGGGGGAGGGAGGGAGTGCAGCTGCGTCAGAGGCGTGTACACCCCCGCATACAGTGCTATGTTGGTGGCTCCCTCCCAGGCCCGCTGTCATGCTGGTGGTCAGTGCATGCTTGAGCGAAGGAGGAATGAGGCACGAGGGGCGGAGCAGAAGGTGGGTTGATAGTGAGATGAGGCAATGGAAGGATGAAGTTGCGAGCTGTTGCCGCTGTTGACCATGCTGACTGCGCTGCGTTGCATGCGAGGCAAGAATACCTGACTGCACTGCACACCTGACTGCACCGCGCACAACACCTGACTGCACTGCACACCACACCTGGGTTGCGAGGATGGCGAGGCCGCTGGCCCCGGTGAGCAGCCCCCATGCGATGGCGTGCTGCCGGGTCATCCGCCCTGCTGGTAACGGCCTTCCCCGCGTGCGCTTCATGAGTGCGTCATTCGCCACCTCGTACACCTGGGAGGGAAGGAAACCGGGGGGGCGCGCAGGGGGGGCGCACAGGGGGGGCGCATCGGGTAACACAGGGGCACAAGGGGCAACGAAGGGCTGATCGTCCGCCCTGCCGGCAGTGGCCTGCCGGGAAATGGGGGAGAGAGGCACGAGGCGAGAGTAGCGTGGTGCAGCGATGCAGCAGCAAGGAGAGGGTAAGCCATGCACAATGCATACAGGCGACGAGAGGTGAGAGGTGAGAGGTGAGAGGTGAGAGGTGAGAGGTGAGAGGTGAGAGGTGAGAGGTGAGAGGTGAGAGGTGAGGGGTGAGAGGTGAGAGGTGAGAGGTGAGAGGTGAGAGGTGAGGGGTGAGAGGTGAGAGGTGAGAGGTGAGAGGTGAGAGGTGAGAGGTGAGGGGTGCCGCAAGCAGCAAGGGCAGCAGACAGAATGAGCACTGGGCAGCCACACCTGGTTCCACGTGTTGGCGGAGGCAGCTGCCAGGAAGGTTCCGAGCGAGGTCCATCCAAGTCCTGCCCAGTCAACGCGGTCGTCACTGCCCATCACAAACCCCGCTGCCGCTGTCGCCACCACCAGCAGGCTGGGGGGGTGTGAGGCGCGCAGGGGGGTGCGAGGCGCGCAGGGGAGCGAGAGGCAGGAGGCAGGGGGTACGGGGCACAAGGGACAGGAGTCAGCTAGGGTGAGAGGCGCAAGGGTTCGGAAGACAGGAGGGGGTGACGGGTGCAGGGGCCGGAAGACAGGGGGTGAGGGGCAGAGGGAGGAGGGGGAAGAGAGGGAATGCTGTGAGACGCTATGCGCAAGACGAGGTGAGGCGCACGAGAGAGCAACGGAAAAGGCGTCATCACATTCAGAGCAGCGGGACGTGTCAGTTCCTCACCTCCGCGCAAGCACCCACCCACCTGAGCCGCGTCTTGCTGAGCTCGTAGTAGCACCGCCCGTAGTGCTTCCACACGCTCACGCCTGCCGCCCGCCCTGCCGCCGCGCCTGCCGTGGGGACGGCGAGGCTCGCGCGGGCGGCGGCGGGCAGAGAGGCGGCGGCGGAGAGGGTGGCGGAAGAGAGGCTGGCGGAGGAATGCGTGAGGGCGGAGCGGAGAGCGGAGAGCGAGGGGGAGGTGAGCGTGAGCGCGAGGGGCGACGCGTCCCGCCATGCGCCGATGCGCTTCGCGTTGGTGGCGAGGGATGCGGGGCCGTGAGCGACGACGAGCGACGGGATGAGGCGCGCGTGATGCGGCGTGGCGGCGGTGGGCGGGGCGGCGTGCGCGAGGGAATGCAGCGGATAAGGACCGCCCGGTGCGGGCGCGCCGTGCGCGCCGCGACACGCAGGCCCATGGGTCAGCGACGCGACCTGCTTGCGCGCCTCGCGACACGCCACCCGCCACATGGTGCTGGTGGCGGCGCGCGAGTGAACGGTCGACAGCGACGAGGACGGCAAGAGCCGGATACTAAAAGTAACGACGTTTCTTAGTGGATCTAATAGTAACGCGAGACGAGAGCGTGCCGTGCGCCGCGTTTCGTTTCGGACAAGGCAGCGCGGCGAAGGATGGCACGGCGGGCGGGACGCACAAGGCTCCGTGAACGCGTCTCGCGCACGAAGGCCCAACGGCTTCCGAACTGGAGCCTCGAGAAAAAAACACGGCTCTGGCGAAACCAGGTTCGCAGCTTCGGATTCCCAAACCAAGGCAGGCCCGTGACGTGGCTCAGGCTCGTGAACAAAACAGCCGAAACCAGAGCTGATGAGATACGCGTTACTAGCGAGAGCGGGTGAAGTAATTTCACCTCTGTAGCGCCTACAAACATAAAACCAACGTTTCTGCCACTTCGAATTAACCACACTGGTGAGTGTTGTGCAAATGAAGCACACACGCGAAGTCCGACAGTGAGCTTTTCGCCAAAATCCATCTGTGCCCGTCCATTCCAGTGCCTGCCGCGTCGCTTCGTGAAATCGAGCGATCAGATTCACTCGTTTCAACGCGCCATCCAGCGGTTAGCAAACAACGTCTCTCCCGCGCTTCACCCGCCACCTTTACTTTCTCGCACCGTGCCCCCGGCCCTCCGATCTTGCCTGTCGCGCGGTGCGACTGCCGCGTGGTTGCTGCGAGGCGCGCGAGGAGAGGCAGAGGGCGCGGGGCGGATCGTGATAGCGGCGGGGAGGGCAGCAGCTTGAGTCGGCATGGCGGAGCAACAGCAGCTAGGGCCCACACAGGTGAGGTCGGCCCCGCGCAGGTGAGGTCGGCCCCGCGCAGGTGAGGTCGGCCCCGCGCAGGTGAGGTCGGCCCCGCGCAGGTGAGCCGTGCGTGCTGCTGTTCCCCACTCGCGCCATGCAGCTGAGCGCGCGCCATTCGCGCCAATCTGTTGTGCGCAATCCCGTAAGATCTCATAGCCTGCCGTCCCTTTAGTTCGCATCCCGCGCCCCACGACGCCCCGCGTCGCCCCACGACGCCCCGTTGTGCGCGCACCTGGTGCTGAAGGCCATCCCGCACTTGCCGCTGAGCGCGCCTCGCAGTCGCACGCCATCGATTCCATGCATCCCGCCGCGCACCCTTTGCACCCAATTCTCACCGCATGTACCAATAAAGGGCATCCCGCGCCTGCTGGTGGAGCAGAGCATTGATGTGGTGCCATGCCATGCCCCATTGCCCGCACCCATCCCCCCACGCGCCATTTCCACCGCATGTACCGCTGAAGGGCATCCCGCCTGCTGGTGGAGCAGAGCATTGATGCCCTGTCGTCCCATGCCATGCCATGCCATGCCATGCCGCACTGCCCGCCCCCTCCCCCCATTGCGCGCCATCCCCTCTCACGGCGCGTGCAGATATCGGTAAAAGACATCCCGCGCCTGCCAGTGGAGCAGGTGCGGCAGATCCGCGAGCAGGTGGAGGGCGAGGTGAAGATGCTCGCTGACTCCCTCGCCTCCCTGCGCGCCGCCCTTGCCCGCATCGATGCCTCGCGCGCCGCTGTTGAGGCCATGGCGAAACAGCAGGAAGGTGCGCAGGGATAGTGACAGTAGGAGGGGAGAGAAGCGGGGGGTGATACGGAGGTGGGATGGGGGAGACGCTACAAACACAGTGGAGTGGGGGAGGTGGGGTGCAGCTGCTTGCCGACTCCCTCAATTCCCTGTGTGCTGCCCTCGCCCGTGCTCATGCCTCGCGCGCTGCTGTGGAAGCCATGGCGCAACAGCAGGAAGGTGCGGAAGGGGAGATGGAGGGTGTGGGGAGAGGCGGGGGGGAAGTGGGGGGAGGTGGGATAGGGCAGTGATGGTAGGAGAGGAGAGCAGTGGCGGGTGATAAGGAGGTGGCGTGGGGGGAACGCTACAAACACAGTGGAGTGAGGGGGATTGGGGTGAAGCTGCTCGCCGACTCCCTCACCCACCTGTGCCCCGCCCTTGCCCGCATTGATGCCTCGCGCGCTGCTGTTGAAGCCATGGCGAAACAGCAAGAAGTTGCGGAAAGGGGGAATGGGAGGTGGGGGGAAGAGGTGTGGTGGGGGGGAGGGGGAAGAGGTAGTGGGTAGGTGGGATGGGGCACTGACGGTAGGAGGGGAGAGAAGTGGGTGGTGAGGGAGAGGTAGGATGGGGGAGAGGTAGGATGGGGGAGATGCTACATAGTGGGGTTGAGGGAGGAGTGAACTCCATGCCCTATGAATCTACACACCCCCTCTCTCCCCACCCCACCCCACCAGGTGCGAGCATGCTGGTGCCTCTCACTGGATCCATGTACATCGCTGGCACCGTCGCTGAACCCTCCCATGTGCTCATTGATGTTGGCGCCGGCTACTATATCGAGGTGACTATACCGAGGTGACTATACCGAGGTGACTATACCGAGGTGATTATAGAGAGGTGACTCTATCGAGTTGAGTATAGCGAGGTGACTGTAGCGAGGTGGCCTGTCTCGAGGTGATTGCATCAAGCTGATTATAGGGAGGTAACTATATCGAGGTGATTGTAATGAGGTGAGCATTTCAAGGTGAATGTATCGAGGTGACTATGTTGAGCTGATTATTGACTAAATCAAGGTGATTGCAACGAGGTGATGTTAAGCCCTGCTGAATAGCCCATGCTTGGTCCTGTTGGGCCTCCGCCCTGCATGTCTGCTCCGCTTGTTATAACACTATCCCGCATTCCCCCCTGTGCTCCCTTTGGGCTCGCTGAACACTGTGCATGGGGTGCATGGGGTCCCTTGTCGTCATGTGTGTCATGGTGCGCTACCCTGCACTGCCTGGGTTTCCCATGTGTGTTATGTGCATGGGGTGCATGGGGTGCATGTGGTGCATGTGGTGCATGTCACGCATGTGGTGCATGCATGCCGGGCTGGACGCCAGCAGAAGTCAGTGGAGGAGGCGATGGGGTACTGCATGCGCAAGGCGGAGCTGCTTAGAGCCAACCACGATAAGTTCAGCGAGGTGTGTGTGCGCTCCTTCCTTGCCCCCCATGCATGCTGCACGCCCTCCCACCCTCGCCCATGCTCCGTGCCTTGCACACCCCAACCAACTGTTCTGCATGCACAAAGCAGAGCTGCTTAAAGCCAACCACGACAGGCTCAGCGAGTTGTGGCCCCCCTACCTCCCTGCCCCCTCTGCACCTCCTTTGTGTCAGTACAGTGGGTGGTGCATTTTCCTCTCTCTAATCCAGTCCCACCTCCCTCTCTCACCCCTTCAGTTCCACTGTCTTTCAATTCCATGCCACATGCTCGTCCCCCTCTCCACCCAATTCTATGAGCAGGTAGCAGATGCAGCTACTGGAGGAGGTGCCAACGGTGCTGCGGACCAGCCACACTCCACTGCACCGCACCACACCACACATCACATCCCACCCCACCCGTGGCAGGTGGCGCATGCCAAGAGGCAGCTACTGGAGGAGGTGACGATGGTGCTGCAGGCCAAGCACACCCCACTGCACCGCACCACACCACACATTACACCCCTCCCCATCCCACCCCACCCCTCCATGAGCAGTTGGCGCGCGCCAAGCGACAGCTGCTGGAGGAGGTGACGATGGTGCTGCAGGCCAACCACACCCAACCTCGCTGCACCACATTTACCACTCCCGACCCAACTCCATCCTATGAGCAGGTGGCGCGCGCCAAGCGACAGCTGCTGGAGGAGGTGACGATGGTGCTGCAGGCGAAGGTGAGGGCAGCCGTGCAGCAGCAGGGCGGGGGAGCACCAGGTGCTGCTGCAGCGGGGGCAGCACAGGCAGGCAGGATACAGGCAGCTACCTCGTGAGCTCTGTGCTCTGTGCATGGCCCTGCCTCGTGAGCTGTGTGCTCTGTGCATGGCCCTGCCTGCACGTCAACCATGCTGCTGTGCGCCTTTACCTGATGGCGTGTTGTGGAATCATTTTGGCTCAAGTGCACTCAGGGCAGCGCCATTTTGGTTTGGCTGTTAGCAAGGTGTGGGTCTGCAGCTGATGCACATGCTCCTCTAGATGTAGGTAGGAAGTCCCTGCTGGGGCAAACAGTACCCAGTGAACCCCCTGCTTTTGTAAGGATAGCTGAATGCAGTGGTAAATTGATTCTAGAGTGCACTAGAACTTGTGGACTTGAATAGTATCTTACAGCGTAGGGACTTGACTTGTACCCTCCGTAACTTGCTCCATTATGCAGGCACGGTTCTGTATGTTCAACCATCTGTCCTTTTCAAGATAAGCCAGCTTCTGATTCGAGCAGACAGTATGTGGAGTGTTCTAGCTGCCTCAAAACTCCACGAAAATGGCAGAAGACAAGGTATGCCTACAGACACAGAACCTACAGCACCCATATCATGCACTTCCGGCTCCTAACATAAATCTGCATTCATTTGCTCCTAGCTCAGACAGCTGCTGATGTGATCCGACAGTGTGGCCCCCTACACCTGTCTTGCAATGCTACATTTCCAACGGCTCTCCAACGGGAACCTAGCTCAGCCAGCTGGTGATCTGAGCGGACAGTGTCCGCTTGTGCCGTGTGATGGGCGCCGCAAACGACCCGGCGTCACTCGCCTCCTGCACGTCGGGCAGGTCGGGTTTCCACATCACGGCGCGCCTCTCCTCCTTGCCCGCTGTCACCGTGGACCAGTTGAACAGGCACTCCCCGTTCAGCACCTCCACCCTCCGCCTGAACGCCTGCACCGCCGCCTGCCACTCTATGTCCTCCTCTGCTGCTGCTGCTGTGCCCGCTGCCCCTGCCGTTGTTGCAGCTGCTACACCCTGTGTCCCATGTGCTGACTTGCCCTTGCTGCTGCGGCCCACCAGGCTGTCATCCACAGCGCGCCTGGCTCTGGCAGGGCGGGAGGGGGCGTCCAGGGAAATGGCGTGCAGCAGGCGCCTCAGTGGGCTGCGGTCCTGGCCTCTACCCTCCTGGCCTCTGCCCTCACTGTCACTGCCGTGCTTGGGATTGTCGCCCTCACTGCCCGTGGCGTCGAGAGATAAAGCGTGCAGCAAGCGCCTCAGCGGGCTGCGCTCTCGCCCTCTGCCCTCACTGCCACTGTCTTCACGGCCCCTGCTCCCCTGCTTGGCCCTGTCACCCTCACTTCGCTTATCGCGTGCCTTGCGCTTCAATTCACTGCGTGCCTCCTCCCTGCGCCCCCCCTGCTGCTGCCCCTGCTGCCCCTGTGGCCCCTGCTGCCCCTGCTGCCCCTGCCTCGTCCACTCATTCCCAGCGCCATCATGCCACATCTCTGTGTCCATCTCTGTGTCCATCTCTGTGATTATCTCTCCCCTTCCTTCCCCATCGCTCACAGGGCAAGGGCTCGCAGGGCGAGGGCTCATGGAGGCCCCCTGGTAACGCCCGTGTGTGTCATCGTGAGGAGGAGAGCGGTGTGAGGGGGCGGCAACGTAGAGGGGAGAGTGCTGCGAGGGGGTGGCGGAGGCGGCGCAGCGCTGGGAAGGCGGAGGGGACGAGTGGGCGGGCCTGGTGAGAAACAGCACGGGCGTGGGGGGATGCAGCATGGGGGGGCGGGGTTCAGGGTACTGCGAGGCATGCTCTCCGTTGTCAAACGCCATGCGGGGCGGGCTGAAACTGCTCCCCCTGGGCACAGCACAGGGCGGTCGTGCCAGGTCAGGGCTGCGCTGCCCCTCCGCCCTCCCCCCCACAGGGCTGCACCCTCTCTGCAGACTCCTCCCCCTCAAGGAGCTCCTCCCCCTCAGCGGACTCAGCTGCCTCATCCTCTCCACCAGTGCTTCCGCCCACCCCTGCTCGCCCTTATCCCCCGCCTTCCCATCGCCCCGCATCTCTCCCCCTTCCTCCTCCTCCCCCCCCCCCTCCTCCCCCTGCCCCCCTCCGCCATGCTCAGCACCCTCTGCGCGCCAATGAGCGCCTCTACCGCGTCCAGCGCCGCTGCTCCCCCCACGCCCTCCCCACCCGAGTGCCTGCGCCCGTGGCTGCGCGTCAGCGGGCTGCTCCCCGCCCCCGCCCCTGCGCCTGCCTGCGCCGCCGCGCCCTTCCCCCCCCTACGCTCCCCGCCCGCGGTCCTGGGCCTCAGCGCGCTGGCGCAGGGCGGCGCGGCCGCCTTGCTGCATGACGCGGGGAGCGACCCGCGCAAGGGACTCGCGTGCGCGCTGCCATACGGGCTGCCATGCGGCGTCGCGTGCGCGCTCCCCAGCGGAGTCACATGCGCGCTGCGCCATCGCCCGTCCCCCGCCTTTCCCCCGTCGTCGTCACCCCCCCACGCCTCTTCCGCGAGTCCCCGTATCTCCTCCGGACTTCCGCTCAACGATTTGCACGGGCGGTGCATGCCGCGCCTGGACCGCCGCAGCGCGGGCACCATCAGCCGCCCAGGGGAAACCGCCAGCCCCGCGCCCTGGGCCGCGTGGCTCTCCCCCGTCTTCCCGTTCAGCGCCATCCCGCCTGTCTCTCCCGCGCGTCGCCTGCTCGCTCCGCCATCTGCGTGAGCAGGGGAGTGCACACCTGTGGCAAACGGCGCTGGAGCGGCGGCGGCGGAGGTGCGGGCGTGTGGCGGAGAGGCGTCGGGGGAAACGTCGGGGAGGGCGCTGGTGCTGTGATTGACGCGATGGCGGGGCTTCACGAAAATAGTGACGCGGGGCGGGGACCGCGCGGGCACGTGCACCAGTGGCGGAACGGCGGACTGCGGATGCGCGGAGGGCGGAGATAAATTGCGCTGCAGGGGGACGGGTCGACGGGGAGGGCGGGAGGGAGCTGTTTGAGCGGGGCATTCGGAGTGACGTGCTTGTACTAATAGCGCGACGACTGGAAGAGCATGGCGATGCGCGTCGGCGATGCGCACGCAGCTGCGCATAGCATCAAAACCATAGTGTCAAAATCTAGTGTACTCGCTACGCTCGATGCTTCGAAGTAATCCCGAGTTGACAGCGTTCACAGGGTTCATTCGAAGCCCAATTCGCGCGGTTTGGCAAAGCAGAACCGGCGGAACCCGCTCGTAGCCTCACCTCATTCCTGCCGTTGGCGGAAGGCGTCTTGCGCAAATCCCGCGGAGGCTTCCGCCCCGCCGTCCCGCCTTCATCCGCGTGCGCGCACTCCGCTCCGCCCGTAACCCCGCCCTTCCCTTGCGCTTTCCGCACGAGGTGGTAACAGCGCCCCGGCTTAAGAACCCGCCCCGGCGGCAGCGGCCCCTCGCGCTTGGCGAAAAGCGAGGCGCTGCTGGCGTCGGCGGGCGAAAAGACCGCGTGGTTCGGGTAATGGCGCACGAGGCTCTCGACGTAGACGGGGCCCATCAGCACGTCGACGATCGTGTCGCCCATCTTCAACACAACTTTGTCTTTTAGCGCCATGCTCGGCGCGCTGCTGTGGATAGGTATAAAATCTAGTCTGCTATGGAATGGTGAAGTGTCGGTTGGGAGAGAAATCATCTAGTCTTGCAAAGATTGTAGCAGATGAGAGGTCAGTGAGGGCGTCGGGGAACCAATTGTGAGGGCGTGTTTGCAAAATTCAGGAATTATAGAAACGGAAAGCAGAGATCCAACGAGCCCACCGACTTTTAGGAGATACACGCTGCTGCAGGGGACGGTGGGAGTTGGGGCAAGCTTCGTTGTGTTGTGGGGCGAGCAAAGCGGACCAGGTGACGCGTCGACGCGCAAACGCACATGCCGCTGCCGAGGAGGTGAGTTGAGTGGATGGAACATGGAACATGGCATGGCATGACGACGGCTGATGCCTGCTCTGACTCGGACCGCGGCAGTTTCGCCAGCTGCGCTCGGCAGCTTTCGCCAGCTATTCTACTTTCGTCACGCATAAATCGGCCCGCCTGACGGCGCTCGGGGAGGTGGGTGATTGCAGGTGGGTGCTGTGCTAGTGGGGGAGAAATATTCAAATTGTCTTCGCCAGCTTTCGCTGGAGCTCGGAATCAATGGTCAGAATGGTCAGAGCGGCGTCATGCGAAGCACAGTAACACGCGTCATTACTAAATTCTCACGCGGCTTGGAGTGGATGGCAGCTGGTTGAAAACGGTTGACGAGCGGATTCAGCAAACACGAAAGCTCCGAAGAAATGTCCCTACTAAAGTCTGTTAACTGCCACAGTACACTACTGTGAATCAAGTGCAAATAATGATGCTTCTAGTAACTATTTCCATGAGAACTTGGGTGATCTAGAACAAAGCTTTCCAGACTGCACTTTAATCATTTGAATGCGTTCCCTCACACTACATAAATATCATAGATTATACAACAAATCTCCACTTGTGCATGTCAAGTTTCTGGATGCCTGTGAGCAGGGAGGAGGCACAGGCAAGGAAAGGGCAATGGAAAACAACAAAACACAAGGTCAGTCAACCAATTTGACTTGACAGCAATGAGGAACAGGTGGCTGGGAGGGAGAAACACGAGGAGGGGGAACTTGGGCCAGTAGAATGCGAAGCTTTTGATGAGGGCTGTGCCTGGCACATGGTGGTGGTGCAGGCAACCAAGCAGCAACCTGCATTCCAGAAGCAGCCAAGTGACTGAAAAGGATGTAATGAAGGCTATGCCTGGCGCATGGTGGTGGTGCGGGCAACAGAGCAGCGACCCGCACTTTCAGGAGCAGCCAGGCTGGCAGGCGTTGGTGTGGCTGCCCTCATAAGCGCGTGGGGCGGCAGACTGCCACATCAGCGACCGGCAGACGCCCCACCCGCGGCAATTCAGGGAGCCATGCCCAAGAGGTGGCGGTGCGACTGGGGTGATGTGACAGTGACTGCACTCATCGTAACATGCTACTTACATGTAATGGCGCGACAGCAGGGGACTGGGTGCAACCACCCACACATGGAGTATGATGGTCCGGGCTTAGTCACCCAGCAATGTAATGTGAGGCTCCTCACAAGCCGTCTCATGTGTGGGTACAGCCACCCACACTGCAGAGGTCAACACATGCAGTACAGTGGTCCGCTGGTCCAGGCCTACTCGCCACTGCTAGCCATTGTGAAGCGCCTCCCGAGCCGTCTCATCACGCGTGGGTACTGCTACCCACACTGCAGAGATCAACACACGTGAAGCATGGCAGTTCATGCTTTCTTGGCGCTGCAGATGGCAGCTGTACCTGCACAGGGTTAAACATTGGGACAGAATGAATAGATGGTGCAAAGGATTCAGGTCTGGCATGCTCGCAAACACAATCGGAGCATAGACACATCGCAGCATGGCCGCACGTGATCGTGGCAGCATGGCAGCATGTGAGGGGTGCATGGAGGACAAAAGCCCATTATCGAAAGATGGACCGCCATGGCATGCCACTGCGGGTCACTCAAAAGCTCCCATCGCTCGGCACCCCCCTGTAGGGCAGCGCTGTAGGCACCCTTCACTAAAAGCACAGCCAGTAGGTTGAACTGCACTTTGAAGACATAAGGCGCCATGTGCAGTGGAATGTATGAGACATGCGAGACATGTGAGATGTTCGAGATGTGCAGCGAATGCGGACATGCAGCGGGTGACGGTGCTAGTGCATTGTGTTCAAATCCCCATGGCGCACATATGCTGCAACAGACGGCAAAGGCCTTGCTACTTACATGTGATGATGATGACGTCACGTCATGACACCACGGCCCCACCATCAGGCACGGAGGATGAGGACGGGCGACCGCACAACGGGAGGCTCGGCAGCATGGCAGGCTCGGCAGCATGGCAGGCCCGGTGACGACCCTGCACGCAAAGACAGGAACATGCCATCTGAGACGAATGAGGAATAGTGGCACTCTCTCGCTCGCAGACAGAGAATAAGCCAATTCCGAGAAGGCAAGTCAAAAATGTTTCCAAGGCAACGATGATGCGAGTGACACAATCGACCGCATCTCTGGGCTGCCTTGAGGAATCAATCGAATCAGATCTTATCAGATAAGATCGGATCGGATCGGATCGAGCGCTATGGGCATCCTGAACATAAGGCCTGGCAGGGAGACAATGCTGCTGCCACGCCTCGGAAAGAGTAATGCCCCGGACACCACCACCATCACCCCCTCGCCAACCCATCACCACCAGCACCACCACACCACCAGCACCACCACTGCCACAACCACCCCAGCATCATCATCACCCCACTCCATCAAACCCGCTACCACTGACAGGCCATCGATTCACAGCGGCGCGATTTGGGCTAAACGACAATCTACGAGTGGTGCGCCGAGGGGAGTGGGGAGAAGGGAGTAGGGAGAGGGGAGCGGGAAATGGGGACGCGGCGGGTTGCCGAAATGGAGCGCGAAACGGTCATCGATACAAGGACATTAGCACGCACCTGCGTCGCTACCGAGCGGGCTCGACGGAGCCCTAGGACGAGGCGCCATAGATCGAACCAACCACGTGCGACTATCGAAGCACCTCAAAGGGAGCGCCGGCGCGAGGCGCGCCATGGATGGAATCGGCGACGGACGCCAAGATCGACGGCCTGGATCGAAGGGTGAGCTGCAGCCAGCAGAGTGCGGACTGCGCGCGCGCCACCAGTCGGCTCCCACGTGCCTCCCGCGCGGATCCACGTGGCTCCTACACGGAAGAGACTCCCACGTGGCTCTTGTAGTTCAGGCGATCGCTGATTCGAGCCTTCCATGCTCCTGCGGGTTGCGCGTTGTAATGGGGCGGGGAGGGAGAAGCGAAAAGAGCGACCGGATCAGCCAATGGCGAAGTGGCGAACCGTGCGGAGGCGCGGAAATTATCTATGCTGCTGCCCGCAGCAGCGCCCAGCAGAAGCAGCGGAACTCATCGATATGCGGGGAGGCGCTAAGTGCGCAGAGGGCGGAAAGGGCGCAGAGGGCGCATAGGGCGGAAGGGGGAATGTCCGCTAGCCCCATGACCGCGGATCCCATTGGGGGGAAGGCGGAAAAGGGAGGGGACGCGGAGGGACGATGTGGCGCCGATTTACGGGGAGAGGAGCATTAAAAGGCCCCACTCCTGAAAAGTCGACGCGGACAAGCTAAGCATTCTGAGAAGTATCGAACGTTTAGTTGTAGGGAGAGGGTTGCGAGAAGGGGGTTCCGGGGAAAGGGTTGGGAGAGGGTTATGGGGAGGGGAGCACTGGTAGGAACCACTGCTGAAAAGTCGACGCGGGCAAGCCAAGCATTCTCAGACGCCGAACGAGAGCTAAGCAAAGCTTTGAACCGGGCGAGACTGACGAGAGGCAGGGGTGGGGCATTGGGGGGGGTTGGGGAAGGGTGGGGGTGAGTTCGGGGAGAGGGAGGAGTTGTGCAGGAATATCAACGAGGTCGCACATGAGAGCTGCGAGGCGCGGCGCAGGTACACACTGACGGCTGGCCGTGTGTCCGCCGGCTAGTGCTGGCCAGTTTTGTGTCGGCTGGTTGTGTGTCAGCCGACTAGTATCCGCCGGCTAGTGTCGGCCGGCTTGTGATGGCCGGGTGAGAAGCTGGAGGGCGCGGGGAGAGAAGCTGGAGGGCGCGGGGAGAGAAGCTGGAGGGCGCGGGGAGAGAAGCGGGGAGGCGAAGGGGAAGGGAAGGGAGATTGAGAATGGCGTCACCGGAATTAGTCATTCGCAGCAGAAACATGCGACTACACGCTGAATGCGACAAAACATCACAACTGCGAGGTGAAAATAGTGCGCGTGAAAGAGCATGGCAATGCTTTGCGGGATAAAGGGATTGCACTGCATTGCTCTGCAGTGTGCCTCCCCCCCAAACAGCCTCAGCGCACGAGATTCCGCCCGCGCGCCCAAAGAGGCGCGCGGCGGATGCGGGAGCGCAAGGGGGGGAGCAGCCACACCGCGCGCGAAAGCACGAGGCATGCGCGAGTGCGTCAGTGTGCGCACGGTTCAAATCCACGCTGGCACCGATAAATGCATGCCGCGTGGAAGAACATCCATGCGCTGACGTGGCACTGCATGGTGCGAGCAGGGCGGCAGCGACCTTGAGCTGAGAACAGCGTTCGGCACTATAACCCCCTATCATTTATATCCCGGCAACAGGGATTCGCCTGATTTCTCATATGGCCTCACCTCATTCAGTCAGCAACCCCACGCAGGAGAGTGACGCGGAGATGGAAGCGCGGTCCCGGGAACGGGCGCTACGAGAACCTGCACGCGAAATTGACAGAGTGAACGAAATAGGGAGATTGGTTTAGACACAAAGCGGACTGTTCTGATAATCAGAATATAATCAAGATAGGGCTCTGCGCGTCCTCTAGCGAGACTCGATATAAGGAACAGTTTGCAGTCTAGTTTCGTTATGAGCACCTCCGCATTGAGGCTGGCGCAACGGGGAATCGACGCGCGGCGGGCGAGCTCGCGCGGTGGCGGCAATGGGGAGGCGGGCTCCACATCGTCGCAACCGGGGCTCCGCCCGCACGCGTCGCTGCGCCAGCCCAAGCAGGGAGGCGGCGAGCGCTCTTCGCGCAGCGATACGGCCGCCACCCAATCGAGCCGCGCCGACTCCGCACCCGAGGGTACGACACGGCCAGCTTCGAGCAACGGCACGAGAAATCGCTGCGCGAAAACTAGTTTGAGTTTCCCATTGTGCGAGTAACCAATACCCGCTGCGTAAAGGGCGGGGAAACGAAAACAGCGCAGAAAGAGAGCGCTGCGGCAGTAAACAAACTTCGAATACTCGCGGAAACAGAGCGAATATGCTATTAAAATTCGTATTTAAGTCGCCACTCACAAAAAACACACCTTGCACTCATCGCGTTTAGGTCTGAGGACGCGGCAAATCACGAGCTTTTAACGGCGGGACACAGCCGAGCGGGTTCGTCTTTTGAGGCGCCTCAAAATTAGGCCTGCGGACGCGGCAGATCACAAGGAACAAGAACCGAGGACTCGAGCAGCTGAGAAAACAAATCCCAAGGACAGAAAACAATCCCAAGGACTCTGGCTTCGGTGTAGAGAGAAAACAATACCCTCGGTGGCTTCCCACCACATTTGAAAGCGGTGTAGAGAGCAACTCCTGATTGAGAAATATCACCTATTTAATTGATACAAATGAATAATGGAGTGGATATCGATTCTCTATGTACATAAAATTTCAGTAAGTAGCGTTAGCGTGTCCCTACAGCAAAATAAACTATACAATTAGCGTGAAAACTACCATAACTGCTACAGCTTCTCAAATTCATTCATGAATCCCCTCCCCTCATCCCTGCTCCCCCGAGCTCCAACCGCCCGCTCACCTTCTCCCTCCCCTCATCCCGCCTCCCCCTCCCCCGTCCCCTTCCTCCCCCGACTCCCCTCCACCTGCCACGTCATGCAGCTCACCACCGTCCCTGTTAGGTCCGCTGACATCATCAGTGACATCATTCCTGGCATCAGCATCTGCCGCTGACGTGGCAGCAGGAGGGCCATCAGCAGCAGGGGGTGGGAGGGCAGCAGCAGCTGACGAGACTGCAGAGTCCAAAGCAGTAAGTGCTGGGGGAGAGGAAAAGGGGGATAGGAAAAGGGGGATAGGAAAAGGGGATAGGAAAAGGGGATAGGAAAAGGGGCAAGGGAATGACAGGTAGAAACAGGAGCAAGGGGAACGGGAGTAAGGGAAAGAGCGGCAGGGAAGACAAGGACAGAAACAGGTGCGGCAAGCAGGTGCTGCCAGCAACGATGCATTTTTAACCAGTGCTCAGTGCCGTCGCCACAACCAAACACCAGTGCTCAGTGCCGTCGCCACAGCCAAACACCAGTGCTCAGTGCCGTCGCCACAACCAAACACCAGGAAAGCAGGTCACCCTTGTCTCTCTGCCAGAGTGACTCCTGACACGACACCCAGCCGCATGCATCACCATATCTCTGTCTACCCTGTTATAATCACAGGAGCACCCCGTGCCCTGCTCCTCAGACCTGCCCCAGCACATACTGCCCAGCACAGACTGGGAATTATACCTGTCGGGCTAAGTGCTTGCTTGAGTGTTATCTGCGCCGGAGATCCCTGCCCAGATATTACCTGTTCCAGATATACCTGCCCAGGTGGTACCTGCCCTGGTTGCAGACTGGGCCATGCGTGCTGCAGCAGAGAGCTCCTCCTGATGGGCGTGGAACCAAGACGCCTGAGGGAAGGGGTTGGGGAGAAGAATGGTGTCAGAAGGTGAGCTGCGGTACAAGGAGGTGCAGCAGAGAGCTCCTCCTGGTGTACGTGGAACCAGGACGCCTGAGGGAGGGAGTAGGGAGAGAGAAGGGGGCCGAAGGGGAGGGGATGGCGTGAGGAGAATTGAATGAGGTGCTGCAGCAGAGATCTCCTCCTGGTGCGCGTGGAACTAGGACGCCTGAGGCAGGGAGGATGGGGAAATAAAGAGGGGGTAATGGAGGACCAATAGGGAGGATGGGACGAATAAGGGGTGCAGCAGAAAAAGGTGCAGCCGAGAGCTCCTCCTGGTGCGCGTGGAACCAGGATGCCTGAGGGGAGAGAGGAGGGGGATAAAAGGAGGCCGAGGGGGAGGGGACCACACGAGGGGGATGAGATGAGGTGCAGCAGAGAGGTGCTCCTGGTGTGCGTGGAACTAGGAGGCCTGAAGGAGGGTGTGGAAGGGGGAGAGGACGATGGGGCGATTATTGTGAGTTTTTTATTGAGCAAAAAGCAACTTATCTTTCATTTGGGTATGCGTCCTGGATCGATGTTACATACTCTGCTGACGATGAGAATTCGGTGGCGGAGAAGGCGGAGAGATGAGGTGGCAGGAGCAGCATAGCAGTGGTGAATGCTCATTACAACATGTTTGAGTCAAGAATGGCATACCATGCAGCGGTCGATGCGCCCTGTCCAAGTGCCGCCAGTAGTGCAGCAGCAAGCTCGTCCCTACCATGACCCTACCAAGCTAGTAACTAAGCTAAAAAGGGAATACCATGCAGCGGTCGATGCTACCAAGCGCCCTGTCCATGTGCCGCTGGTAGTGCAGCAGCATGCCGTTCCCAGCCTGGACCATCTAGCGGGTTCTCTCAGACCATATACCAGCGGGCTGGCAGCACATACCATGCAGCGGTCGATGCTAACAAGCTGACTTTTGAGTCGACTCAAAAGACCATATACCAGCGGGCTGGCAGCACATACCATGCAGCGGTCGATGCTAACAAGCTGACTTTTGAGTCGACTCAAAAGACCGTATACCAGCGGGCCGGCAGCACATACCATGCAGCGGTCGATGCTACCAAGCTGACTTTTGAGTCGACTCAAAAGACCGTATACCAGCGGGCCGGCAGCACATACCATGCAGCGGTCGATGCTACCAAGCTGACTTTTGAGTCGACTCAAAAGACCATATACCAGCGGGCTGGCAGTACATACCATGCAGCGGTCGATGCTAACAAGCGCCCCGTCAATGTGCCGCCGGTAGCGCAGCAGCACGGGCCTCAGGTGACTAGCGTACAGCCGCCCTGCCCCCTGCAGTGTTGTGCGGTTACGTGCGGCGGGGCACGGTTGGTGGATGTTGGAATGGTCAACAGTGGTTAGGGCGTGGTGGCATGATAGCATGGTGTCAGACGGCCGACAACAGGATGTTCAGGAGAACATCGGAAAAAATATGGAAAATACTGAAAGAATATGAGGAGAAAAACGTACAATACCAGGGGAATCACCGGGACAAGAGCAGGAAAGTACCAAGATAGAAACCAGGAGAATGTTAGAAGCGAGGTGTACTGAGGAGGTGAGGCTTGCACAAGAGTTATTTGAGCTAAAGAAGAACCAAGATGAGGAGGTGTGGTAAGGCTAGTGCCAGGGCGAGGAAGCAAGCAAGAGGGAGTGGCAGATGGGAAGGTGCAGGAATAAGAAGGTGAGGAAGGAGGGAGGGAAGGAGCGAGGTGCACTTTTGAGGCGCCTCAAAAGCGAGAGGACAGAGGAGAGAGAGGAGTGGGGTTGATTACCGTGGCTGGGCGGGAGGAGGAGGTGGAGGGCAGCTGCAGCCAGAGCAGCAGGAGCAGCTTGATGTGCTGATAGAAGGGTAGCCTGGGGGGGAAAGGGGCGTGGGATGGGAAGAAGAGAAGGTCAGGGTGAGCTAGTGTCAATGCGTACACAGCCAGAGCAAGAGGAGCAGCTTGATGTGCTGATAGAAGGGCAGCCTAGGCGGGAAAGGGGCGTCGGATGGGAAGGGGGCAGTGTAAGCTGGTGCCAGTGCACATGCAGGCAGAGCAGCAGGAGCAGCTTGATGTGCTGGTAGAAGGGCAGCGTGGGGGTGAGAGACGGGGGGTACGGAAGGCGAGATGTGCTCAAATGAGGGCTTGATGTGCTGGTAGAAAGGTAGCCTTGAGGGGGGGAGAGGCGGGGACGGGAGGAAGAAGTGGAAGGCACGATGTGGTGGGAACGGAAGGCACGATGTTGTGGGAACGGAAGACGAGGAGGGCACTGGATGCTTTTATCAGCATCAGGTGCGGTGAGTACGAGGCGAGGAAACAGAAGGGCGGGGAGGGGGAGGAGAGGGGGGGAGGGGTGGGGGTGGGAAGGGCGTGCGAGAGTGGTGGAACATTGAATTTCAAATAGCGATTACACATAGAGAGAGGCAGGAAAAAGCGGGGGAGGAGAAAGGGGGAAGGAGGGGGGGGAGGGAAAGGGGGGGTGTTGGGGAGAGAAAAGGACAAGAACCAGGGGAATCAAGAGGGTGATAGGAGTGAGGGAAGAGGTAAAACGAGGTATGGAAGAGGTATGGTGGTATGACTCACCACGATATGATCCTGTCGGTGATTGTCTCCACTACCCGAAAGCAACCGTACACTGCCATGCATGCCATCCATGCCATCATGCCATCATGCCATGCATGCAACCCATGCCATGATGCCATGATGTAGTGCCATGTTTGTGAATATGCACAAGGAAAGAAGAGTCGCATTTGGCGCCGTGGCATTAAATGTCATGGGAGGTAAGCAGTTGCAACCGCAACTGAAACTGCAACTGAAACTCAAACTGCTACTGCTACTGCAACTGCATGAGAGGGCCACATAAAGGGACACTCACTAGCGCCAGAATTCTCAACACCCCACCACCCTCACCACTCACTGCACCATCCTCACCACTGCACCACCACACCACTCACCCGACCAGTACGCGAGGCATCTGTTGCGGTCCGTCTGAGAGCCCTCCTCAATGGCCTTGAACGAGCGGAAGACGGGAAAGCCCACGCCCACCACCAGACTGGTGTGGGTTGGGAATGGAAGAGGTTAACAGGGGGGGAGGTGAGTATATTACGTGTAAGCCCTTCCCAATGGCCTTGAACGAGCGGAAGACTGGAAAGCCCACGCCCACCACTAGACTGGTGGGAACGACAGAAAGGGAACAACAGGGCACGACAGTGAGGGAAACAACAGGGCACGACAGTGAGGGAAATAACAGGGCACGACAGTGAGGGAAATAACGGGGACAAGAGGGGTAACGAAAAAAGAAAGGTGAAAAGTTGGAGGAGGGGAGAGAGGCGGCCCAAGAGGGGAGAGAGGCGGGGCAAGAGGGGAGAGAGGCGGGGCAAGAGGGGAGATGATGATTGACGGCACAAGGAGGGAAATCAAAGGAGGCGAACTGAAAGGAGGAGAAGTGGGGGAGGGGCGTGGAAGGAGGAGAAGGGAGGAGGAAGGGAAAGGAGATTCATACTTGGCAGCTCGGATGACGATCGACGATGAGCTGGCGGCCAGGAGAATCTGCAGGCCCACCTGCAGGGGGGGAAGGAGGGACGAGGGAAAGGGGGGAGAGGGCAGCACAGGAGGAGAGATTCATACTTGGCAGCTCGGATGACGATGGACGATGAGCTGGCGGCCAGGAGGATCTGCAGGCCCACCTGCAGGGGGAGAAGGAGGGACGAGGGAAAGGGAGGAGAGGGCAGCACAGGAGGAGAGATTCATACTTGGCAGCTCGGATGACGATCAACAATGAGCTGGCGGCCAGGAGGATCTGCAGGCCCACCTGCAGGGGGAGAAGGAGGGACGAGGGAAAGCGAGGAGAGGGCAGCACAGGAGGAGAGATTCATACTTGGCAGCTCGGATGACGATCAACAATGAGCTGGCGGCCAGGAGGATCTGAAGCCCCACCTAAAAGGGGAGAGGGAGGGCGGAGGCAAAAAGGGGAGAGGGAGGGCGGAGGCAAAAAGGGGAGCGGAAGGGAGGAGAGGAGGGCTCAAGAGGCTCGGATGACAATGGACGATGAGCTGGCGGCCAGGAGGATCTGAAGTCCCACCTGAGGGGCGAGAGGGAGGGACGAGGGTAAGGGCGGTGAGGGCGGTGAGGGCGGTGAGGGAGTTGAGGGCGGCAAAGGAGGACGTCTTACCCCCCTGACTGCACCCTACCCCAGCTTCGTACCCCCCTGCACCCTACCCGTACGGCTTACCCCCCCCCCCCTTGCAGCGGTACACCCGAGCTGAACAATGCCATCGGCGCGCTTCTGTCCATGGCCCAACCCGTAGCCCTACCCGTACCCGTGCCGCTTACTCCCCCTCGCCCTGCTCGAACGTCTTACCCAACCTCCTTGCAGCGGTGAACCTGAGCTGAACAAGGCCATCGGCGCGCTGCTAGCCTTACGGAGGGTTGCAGCTGGCGTCACCCTATCCTCTGCACCCTACCCTTGCCTCTTATCCCCTTGCTCCCTACCACTTACACCCGGCACCCCACCCGTACGTCTTACCCCTCCTCCTTGCAGCGGTACACCCGAGCTGAACAGGGCCATCGGCGCGCTGCTGGCTAAGGGAGTGTCACTGTTAGTGTGAGGGAGTCTCGCTGCTGCTTGCGTCAGGGACTGCAGCTTCTGGCCTTAAGGAGTGTCGCTGTAAGAGCCAGGAGCTGTTGCTTCTCGCGTCAAACCAAGACTATAGCCTTAGCTGTAAACCCCTATAATCGCTATTCCCATGCTACAAATCAGTAAAGGACAGGCATGGCAGATCAGTAGCGGAATAAACGAGCGAGCCTGCAAGTAGCGTCATGCACAAGGAAGCCATGGTGTGATGTGGAACCTCGGGAACTGCAGCTTCTCGGGTACAGTAACGCGGATTTGCATTGATTGGAATTTGGAATTCTGCATTCGCGCTATAAAGCAACTCTAGGGAACTTCTGAGTTACACATGTTTAAAAGCCGCTGAGGGTACATTAGAAACAGAATCCAATATAATGGCATACAGATCATATTTTAGAAGACCCATGTAGCATTCTTATTAGCGTCTATGCGTTATTACGTGTGGCATTATTCAATTGCATATAGAGACTGTTTGTAATCCTACAACAGACCATCCCCTCCCAAACACAGCTCGTTGCCACAACTTATGTTTTTCAGAAGATGCACGAAGGCCATGCTTTCTGGTGTGAGCATTCAGTCTCCAAGCCCCATGCTCTTTTCTCAGCTCCACCGCCTGCAGAGGAGCTCATTCAGCCCTATCATCCCTCCAGTCAGCTCCCCCTCTCCAACTCCCCCACACCCCTCCTCTCGTAACCTCCTCACATCCATCCACCCACCACCTCCACTCATCTAACTCTCCCTCCTCTCACTCCCCCTGCTACCCCTCCTCTCCCTCGCCCGTCCTGCACCCACAGCAGTCCCAGCATCATTTCGTTCCACGAGTCCGGCACCCCCGGCAAGCAGTAGTGCCCGCAGTCTATGTTACCCCCGCCCGAATGCTCCCCGGGGTGCCCGTCCCACCGCGTCAACGACATCCCAAAAATGTCCAGAAGCATCAGCGGCGCGCCATGCCCGCGCTTCGCCCGGCGCGCTTCGTACCGCCGCGCCACGTCGGCGAGAAGAATGTTGTACTTTGCCTCGGGGTAATCCTTGGAAAGCGCATCCTCCGCACTAACCGGCTGCGTGGCCGAACAGCTGCCGTGGAACCCATGCGTGGGCGGCACGAGCGTCAGAACTACCTGCTTGCCGGTACTGCTAACGTCCTCGAACGGGCGGAGGACGGAGAAAAGCGCGGTTTGGTACGCGTCAAATAGCGGCAAGTCGGTGTTCGGGCTCGCGAAGTGGATGTTCTTGCCTTGGATGCGCACCGATGACCACCATTGCCCCGCGCTTATAACGAATGTGTCGTGTTCGTTATAGTGCCGAAACCACCAGTCGTCGGGATTCTCCAGGTCGAGCTCGCCGCCCGTGTTAAACACGTGCTCGTCGATTAGAGTGAGGTTCACGAGGTAGTGACTCCAATAGAACGCCACCGTGGCGTTACAACTCGGCCAGTGGTACACTTGCGCGTACGGATGGCTGCCCAGGACCTCGGGTTCGCCTTGCGTACCGAACATGATACACGCGAGCGAGTTGAAATGGTTGCGTACGATCGAGTCCCCCACGTAAGCGACGTTCCTGTTCCGCATCAGCTCGCACGCGCTCTTCGCCGTCAGTTGCGGCATCGCGTCGCAGCCGCCGCTTTCCGTCGCATTATCGCGAGTCGGTCGCCACCGCAGTTTTTGGTACCCTGTATCCGGCCGCCCGTGCGCGTCGCACTGCGTTGCAGCGTGAATAAACGGGCAGTCAAGACTGGAATACAGCGGCCGGTTAGCATCCGCCTCCCACATCCCGTCGCTGATGTCGCACGTCGTCGAAACGTCGCCAGCCCCCGCCGCTGCGCCAGCCGCGTTGTCGCTTGCCTCCGCGGCGAGCGCGGAAATAACGAGGGAGCGGGAAGCGGGCGACGCGCGGGACTCGAGCGAGCTGGCGGAAGCCGCAGCCGGGGAATTGGGGGCTTTTGGGGAATTGGAAGCGACAGGTTGTGAGGAGCCGCGATCATTGGCGACGCCGCTGCGACTAACAGCGACTGCGCTGCGACTTTCAGCGTGCATGCCGTCGTCGACGTAAATCTCGACCGCGCCGATGGCGGATTCCGGTTGCTCGATAATGATGGTGCCGGATAGGAGCGTCTCCTGCTCCCGCACGCCCAGCTCGTGCAATCCTCTACTGCGCGACGGCGCGGCGTAACGTGGATCTGCGGGGCGCGGAGTCGGCATCTCTCCTAGTTTTCTGCCGCGGGGGCTGTCGGTGGCTGGTCGACTTATCGTGAAACTGGCAGCGTGTGATTTTAGGGCGAGCACGATGACGACGAGGAGAGTCGCGATTGGTGCGTGACGTGTTGCATGGTGTGGAACACGATGCGGTCTGATTGCGGTCATTGTGACGGTGCCGTACCGCCTACTAGCAGTAGCAGGAGTGATTGGTTAACCGGAATAAGCTACCGAAGAGGAACAAGCTACGAATAGCACAGTACGTAAAGATAATCGAACAAGCTCTGGGAGATGGAAGACAGAACCTGGAAATCTGGGTAAATTGTCGGGAGGAGCTCTGGAGCACGAGGAGTTGCTGCTGGGATAGAAGCGTGGTGTCTCGAAGGGTCGCTGAAGTGAAATCATGTCAGAATGGGAGTGAACTAAACCATGCGCGGTGAAATGAAGATTAACGAGTGAAAGAGGGAGAGTAGCTCCACACTCCAAATTTTGCCCATGGCGAAAAGCGACATTGGGCTTCAATTCCCCCAAAACCAGCTGGCGGTGCTTGCGAGAACGGCGACAATAAGCGAAATCTAGGAGCGAGTAATCCTGATTGGTCAGGTGAAGTGGCCAGCAAGTACTTGGATGGATGAGACGAGGCGCTGAATCCGTTACCAGCTTTGGTTGCGGCAGTTGTCGACCTCGTTTTCGCCAAGTCGCCACGGGGTGTGGCGAAATTTGCCATCGAGAGAGGCGAGCAACCTGATGAGCTCTCATGGCACACAGCTGTGCATGTGGGGGGAAGTGTGGCGGCGAGGCGCATGGGTCAGCCTCACATCCATGGGGGTAGTGTTATGAGTTGTAAAAGAGAGTGCGCAGGTAAACGAATAACGAAGCTGTGACTGAATCAACTGCGAATACAATGAATGCACAGACTAATGAAGGACTACTCTAGCTAGGAGGAAAACTCGGACGAGCGAGGTTGGGTGCAGGTTTGGCGATGGGAAAGCCGAAGGCGACGTGAGTAGCCTCGGCAGCGTTGAAATCGGCCGAACGTGCGAACTCCGAAAATCGGGTTGTACGCGAAGCAGTCAACCCCGATAAGGAATTCGGGAAAATTCCTTACACCACCCCCCCCTTTAAGAAAGGTAGTCAATGGCCGAAACACGCCGTCGCGCCAGATAATCACCAACAAGTGTCGAGGCGTCCATTGAAGCGGACGGCACCCACGTGTCGTCCTCACTGGTGCGGTCGGTCCAGCGAATTAAGAAATCCACGTGGCGTCCAGCGGCGTCAAGGCGGATTCGATGAGCGAGAATCTTGGAAGGGTCAAGTGTTGGCTCTGGGACGGGGCGAGCTGTCGGGGCCGCTTGCTGACGTGCGATGTCGGTCGTGGTAGGCACGAACTTCCGAAGAAGGCTGATGTGGAACGCGCCATGTATACGCCAATCGTCGGGTAGCAACAGCTTCGCGGTGACAGGTGTCACCATCTTGAGGATTTTGAACGGTCCGCAAAATCGTGGCCGAAGTTTCGCAGGGCCGGGCAGGTTCAGGTTTTTCGTGTCGAGGAGGACTAGTTGCCCAGTAGTCAAGACGAGTTCCCGGCGAAGAAGGTTGGTGTATTTGCGGGAAGTAATATTCGCTTTGCGAATTGCGTCGGCGGCTTTTTCGCGGACTTCCTGGAGTTCCGTCACGAAAGTCTGGGAACGCGGGACCGGATTGTCGAGTGTAGTTGTCGTCGGAACCGCCGGGTCCATCCCATAATTCAGGAAGAATGGGGAGTGATTAGTCGTGCTGGATGGTGCGTTGTTGAAAGCGAATTCCAGCATTGCGAGCGAGTCTTCCCAGCGGGCACGATCGGGGCAGTTTGTCCTGATTAACTGCTCCATGGTCTGGTTGGTCCGCTCTGTTTGACCGTCGGTCTGCGGGTGGTAAGCCGATGAGAACTGTAGCTTCGTGCCGTATTGCGCCCATGTCTCCTTCCAGAATTTGGATGTGAATTTTGGGTCGCGGTCGCTGATGATCGCTGAAGGGATGCCGTGCAGTCGCACGACCGTCGATATGAAAAGTCGCGCAGTTTCTTCGGCTGTAATTGTCGTTCGGCATGGTGCGAAGTGCGCCATTTTCGTGAAGCAGTCGACGACGACGAGAACAGCGTCGTTGCCTGTTGGCCCAGCTGGCATCCCCGTGACAAAATCCATCGTCACTTGTTGCCACGGTCGTTCGGGTGGCTCGAGGGGTTGCAGCAATCCAGCTGGTCGTTGACGTGTCGACTTCATTGCTTGGCACACCCTGTCGAGAGTTGAACGAGAGAATGTAAGTTAAGTTGAAAGGTAGGGCCTAGGCTTAGGAGCCTAGGCCCGAGATGAGGTGTCGAGCGGGTTTCTCCTAGGGTGGGTATCGAGTGAGTTGGAAGAGAAGTTGGGAGAATGTGTGGCTTCACTATAGTTTCGAAGTACATATAGCAAAGGAAACACATAAGGTGCACCACCAAACAAAGTTTAAATAACTACACTAACTACAGCTACAGGCAGTTACAAATATAAGTTGTGACACTCCCCCATAACTGCGTGCAGCAGGAGTATGTGCAGAATACAACCTGCAGGTGTACACATGCAAAATAATAAAAAGCAAGCAACAGCAGGTAATGCAGGCGGGCTGACACTAGCTGGTCACCCCCTCCATCTCCTCACCCTCCTCCTTCCCCTCCCCCACACTGCTGCAGAAGCAGCAGAGAAGGGGGGAAGAGAGGAGAGGTGGAGGGACGGCTGCTTGTTGCCTCACACCCGCCACCCCGGTACCACTCCCCCTGCTCCCCCACATCCTCACACCCTCCCCCCCAGCGGCAGCTGCAGCGGTGGGACTGAAAGAAGGAGGAGGGAAAGGGAAAGAGTTGACCCAACACTCCTGAGAAAGTACGAACGAGAAGTGAAATGACTATGAACGAAGTGAGTACAAATAGGAAGCCCTAATTGGGTTGTACCCCCTATGGGATACCCCACTATAGCCTACAGAAACAAGTAAGCTATAAGTTCTGACACACCCCCATAGGCAAAGTGGGGGAGAACAAGGGGTCACAAGACCGGTTAAGCAAAGCAAAGCAAAGCTCAGGGTGGATCACAAAGTCACCACGCATTCCGAGCACAAGTTCAAAGGCCACAAGGCCAGTTCACATGCAAGATCATATATAGAGATATACAAGAGCAAGAGTATATATATGCGAAAGTACAAGCAAGGTCAAGAGGAGAGCAAGTGAGGCAAGACAGGCACAAGACCCAACTGCGTGCAGCAACGCTGATGATCACAAGGCGCAAGTGCCTTGGTGAAGACATCAGCAGTGTTGGCCTCAGAGGCCACGTACGCAAGTCGCAGCTGTCCACGCTGCTGTAGCTCACGAGCAAGAAAGTAGCGAAGAGCAATGTGCTTCGTTCTGTGCTCCAGTCGCTGCTCTCGACACAAGGCCAGCATGGCCTTGTTGTCTACGTACAGGACTGGAGGAGAACGAGGCTGCTCTCCAAGGTCGGTCAGCAGGTAGGTGAGCCAGCGTAACTCCTGTGCAGCCATAGCCCCAGCGTAGATCTCAGCCTCACAACTGGAGCCGAGAACAGAAGACGAGCGGGTAGCCCGCCACGAGACAGAGCCGGAACCAAGGCTGAAGGTGTAACCCTGTGACGACCGCTGCGTAGCCTGGTCGTCAGCCCAAGAAGCGTCTGCGTGCCCAGTGAGGACCACTGGACTGCGCCCTCCAAGCACTAGCCCCATGCCCGACGTACTGCACAAGTAGCGCAACACCCTCTTCGCTGCAGCCATGTGCTCTGGTCGGTGTCTCCCAGGAGCAACAAAGCGTGCGAGAATGCTAAGAGGGTATGCGAGGTCAGGTCGTGTGCAGGTCATCAGGTACATGAGGCAGCCAACAAGCTCTGCAAACGGGCCACTCGACTCTACGGACTCATCCGAAGGCAGAGCTGAGAGCGAGTGGCGAGTAGGCAGAGGAGTGGCCTGAGGCGAGGAGTACGTGAAACCGAAGCGCTGAAGGACCTGCTGCACCATGTGTGACTGAGTCAGGGTAATGGTGCGGCGTGCTCTGTCCCGGGTGATCTGCAAGCCAAGGTAGCTGCGCAGTTCACCCAGGTCAGTGCACGTGTGTCTCTTCTGCAGCTCGGACTTCACGTAGGCGAGTCCAGCAGTGTCAGCTGTGGCAAAGACCAAGTCGTCGACGTACACGAGGATGTAGAACGGCGGCAGAGAGGTGTCGGTGCGCAGAAACAGCGACGGGTCGGCAGTGGAAGGAGCAAACCCAAGTGCCGCGAGCGTAGTCCTCAGTGTGTCGTGCCACTCACGTGGCGCCTGGCGGAGACCGTAGACTGGACGCCGGAGACTCCACTGGGTACCAGGAGGGAAAGACCCAGTGAAGCCAGGTGGGCGACGCAGCCAGATCTCCTTGTGCAGGCTGCCCTGCAAGAAAGCTGTGCTGAAGTCGAGAGAGTGCAGCTCGTAGTCACGGTGAGCAGCAACGTGTAGCAGAACCCGAAGAGTGGTCATCTTCGGGGTGGGGGAGAAGGTCTGAAAGTAGTCAACCCCCTGCCGCTGACTGAAGCCACGAGCCACGTAACGCGCCTTGAAGACAGGCGGAGAACCCGGCGGCCGCTTCACCCTGAAAATCCACATGCCACTGACGATGTTTGCCCCAGGAGGGGGAACAGCGTCAACGTAGGTGCCTGTGGACTTCCAGGAAGCCATCTCTGCATCCATAGCTGCCTGCCACTGAGAGGAGTAGGGACCCTCTATCGCCTCCGCGTAAGAGCGCGGAGTCGGGATGTCTGGTGCATCCGGGTCTCCCTCAGGGGCTAGCAGTACAGACGCGAGACGAGGTGAAGCGGCGGCCAGACACTGGAACTCCTCCTGCCTGTCCTCAAGGACGTCCGTGCCAAGGGCACACTCACCCCCGACGGACGGAGGACAGGCGGACTCAGACTCAGTGACAAGACGAGCAGCGTAGTCTAGACGACAGCGCGCAGCAAAGT